ACACAAAATTACAACCGGTTCACTAACCAAAAGAGGGAGGTCTACCAAAGGAAATGTAGCCTAAATCACAACACACTACAAAACACACAAAATCTAAAAACTCCACCAATGAGGAATACAAACTCTCCACCGACAGAATTCACGCTCATAAAGAGGAGAAAAAACACTGACGCACACAAACAACACAAACACCACACAACAAAAACATACAACAAAGCAACACTAACGACACAACACAAACACAACAAAAAAACACAAACAACTAATACTTAAGCCCTTCCAACAGCAATGAAGCCAAACCGAACACCAATGACGCCGACACCTAAGGCCGACTACCCTCACGAGCAAGACTCGGTCCAAGCCGCAAATTCAGAAACTGAAGATAAATCGCCTAACCAAATCTGAAACTAAAATAACCAAACCCTCGCCCGGGTAGACAGCCCCAAGACCAGCAATCGGAAATCCACAACATACTCCACCTCCCAAGACCCGACAACCCAGGCCAGGACACAAGACACATCCCAACCCGAGCCGACTCCGCTAACAGAACCCAAAGGCCCCAAAGCAGAGAAAAATAGGAGGAAGAAGGAGAGTGAAACCGCCCTGATCACAGCCCCGACTACCACCCCGCCTTCCTTCGAGGGGATAAAAGGAGCCACCGCCTTCACTCACAGCCACGCCGGCAGCTAACATGCATCATATTTACGTGCATTTTATAGTGATTTTCGTGTCCGTTTCGTCGTAGTTTAATATATAATTAGTTATTATGTAATTAATTATTATATAATTACTTGTGTATCTAATTAATTTTATTAAGCTATGATGATATGTTTTATTTGAGTTTTGACAGAAAATGGGTTCGAAATAATTTACGGAGTTGAAAACGGCGAGAATCGATTAAAACAGCATGCGGGCTGTGCGTGAATTGAAGGAAATCAACCATTTACAACATATTGGCCCAAGAAATAAACCAGCCATTATATCCCATTTGATGTTTGGTGTGATGGGCCAGCCCAAGAACCATTTAAGTGAGGGGCAAACTAGTCATTTCAAGACCAAAGTATTCATCTCTTTCTCTTTCACGATAGTGCAGCGTAAGATTTCTACCATTGTTGAGCTTTGAGCTTTGAGCTGCTCGGTTCGTCCACCACTTCGCCGCTGCACAGATGCCAGATCTCGCTGAACGCCGCTGTCATCATGTCGCTGGAGAAGAAGCTTGAAGTTGTTATTCGCGCCGGAGAAGAAGCAGATCACCTTCACGTCGGGCTGAGGAGGGCTAGCCGGAAAGTGGCTGAAACCCGCCATGCGGGGTACCTGGAGACCTCTGTTCATTGCCTGACCTACCTGGTGCGCCGGAAAATCGACCAGAGCATATTTACGAGCCAGAAGTGAAGATTTGGAGCTGTTATGAACTCCCAGGTGCACACGAGTCATGTGATCCCGAGACACGACTCGTATCGTTCCGACTGGTCGCGTAACCTGCTCTCGGCATTTTCACATGACTCGTGTGGCTAGTGACACGAGTCGTGTGACCCTGGGCGCAGCCAATACGCGTTTTTTCCGATTTTTATGGATTTTCGACCTATTTCGACTAGGACTCAACCCCGACTATTTAAAGAACACTTGGACACGTTTTTAGGAGTCTAGGACCTAATTTTTCAGATCTTTGGAGAGATTTGGAGGCTAGAAACACGAGCAAGACGAGGGAGTAAGCCGGGGAAGAAGGAATCGACGGAGTCGAATAAGCTTTTTCTTTTCTTTTTTTTTTCCCTCTTTCGAACTCAATGTTTTATATTTATTTTGAAAGCATGTTTCTAGGCTAATTTATTTTGGATTCTAGGATTTGTTAGTACTCGAATTGATTTATGATTTAGTTTTTATTTATTTCATTCCAGTTTATCTTTCTTTTATAAATTTCTTGTGGTTATTATTTATTGTGTGAGTAGACGGCCGCTATGAATGCATATTTGTGATCGATTTGAGACCGAGAGGAGATAATTGATTGCTAGAATTGAGAAATTTATAACGTAAGAGAATAAACAGACAGAGAGGTTGATAGGACCTTGCGAGAGAACGAAAATCCTAGGAACTTATGGGAGTTAGTTTTTCATCTTGAGACCGAGAGGAGATAGATAACAATTAATATCTACGATTTGCTTGTTCGAGAGAAAGGTTGAAATCAATTTAGCGATTATCTCTACGATTGGTAAAATTAAATAAGGTTTGTTTGAATATAAACGTTTCATGAATTAATTCCGAGGAACACTAACCTAGAATCTATCTTTTGCATCTTATTTTATTTTTATTTCATTAGGTAAATTAGTTCTTAGTTTAATTTCTTAGTTCATAATCATCATCCAATTCATTAGTCTAGATAATATTTAATCGTTATTATTTTAGTACTTAATTAATTTAACTACAATCTCTGTGGAATACAACCTTGCTCGCCACTACCTATAGCTACGCCGTACACTTGCGGATAGCAAAAATAATTAGCGAACAGCAGCCTGCCACCACCTAGAATCCAGAAAAACACCAGACCCTGACCCACCTTAGCAACCAGCGAGAAGACGAAACCTAAGGGGAGGACCCGACATCTCGCCCGATGAAAAAGCTGTCGCCACTTCCGATGTCTCTGAGATTTGACCGCACAGCTCGAAGGACGTCGCCGTTGTGGTGGCCCCGAAGGCCCTGCTAGGAGAAGGCACGCAGATTAGAGGATTAGGTTTTCTTTCAAAATTTAGGGATTTCTGTTTAAAGAGAGAGTTGAGGATTTGATTCTCTTCACTCTTTTGTTTTACGTAATTATGTCAAAATACAAATTTAATTGGAGTCTTGCGTTAAGAACTAGAACGTAAAAGTAGGTCTTCAATTGAAAATAAATTAAAATTGAAACTCTCAATTGAGAAAGTTGAAAATCCAGACCCTATTGTGACACAATTTTCAAAAATCAAACGTTACAATGGAATTTCCCATTAATTTCCTCTCCCAATATTGTTACTATAACAAACACAAAATCTTAACCTCTCAATCCAAGGCAATTGTTACTGTAGCAAACACAAAATCTAACACCTCAACCCTTTTCTTTTGCTTGTCTATCTTCCGTTGGTCTCACTTTCTAGTTGGGTCAAGGCCAGAGGCCATATCCCGCCCCAATCTCAACCATTTGGGGGAGCGATGTTGCGGTGCTCGTCGTGCCACCCTCTTATCGGTTTGGGTTGGGCCCATTGTGCGGGTTTTTCTCCTCCGGCCTTGGGGCGGCAGGGAGTCGTCCACTGGGCCCCCTAATCGTCTTTTTCGACTAAAGGCTCCCGGTGGTTGAGCGCCCTTTCCCGACCTTGGCGGAGGCGATTTGTCCCGCTGATGCCATTTTCCGTGGTGGCTTCCCTCCTCCTAGTGCTGAGGATAATTAGAGCCCAAATCTAGACTGAGAATTGCCTCATCGCCAGATCTGTCTAAGAGGTCCAAGTTTGGCCATAATTTCAGAGTTTGGGGTTTCAATTTGCAACTCTGTTGTGATTCTATGATGTGGGGTGTGACTCGTGTGCTTGTTTGGGTGGCTATGCAGATTGCGTGCAAAGTTTATGGAAGGTCTTAGTTTATTTATTGTTTAGGTGTGTGTTGTTTTTTTCGTTTTGTTAGTCCAACTACGTGTACTTTTTAGTTTCCTCTGCAGTTTGTGTGGAGCTTTGTTTTGCGGGTTTTTTGTAACCCATTGGTTATTTATTTGTGTAATTCCAGTAAGAGTTGGTCCAAACTTTGTTTTATTTAGAGTTGTGTCGTGTGACACTCTTCTGTATTTTTTTGAGTTTTCAGTTATTAATATAAGTATCATTTAAAAAATAACAATGAAATTCTCCGGGACAAATTGAATTTATCGACAATTTATCATGATTTAGTTCAATGGTGAAATCAATGAAAAAGTAATGTCGTTAGTAATTAAGCAACACCGTTAGCAAAAACAGAACGAGTGTGCACTGCACGGCTAAGCTAAAGAAGAAAAGGAGGAAAATGAAAAGAAAGGAGGGCGAAAATTGGGAGCAAGACTAGGAAAGGATCGACCAAAGGAAAGAAAAGGATTAGATTTCGAAGGGCTAAAGCTAAAGAAGAGCCCTAAAATCCCAAATACAGTAAGCTTCACTTGCCCAGTCTTGAAGTCGCTGTTACCTCTTTCCTGGGTCATGAGGCACGAACAAGAACAACTGCTCTGATCAACCAGGTTCGGGCTTAAATTCTTTCGAAAAAAGCTGAGAGGCCACACATGAACCCTTTTGTATAGCTCTCAGTTAGAGTTGTTTTGAGCTGTTTGAATATCTGAGATACGGCTGTTTGAATAGAGGCAAAAAGGATGGAAAAAATTGCAGTGCTGTGATTATTTTGAAGATAGTTACAAATAAGATCATTTGGGAGCTTGTTATCAATATCAATCTATTTCCTTCTAAAAGCATTTACCTCATTACTGTTTTACAAAGATCTGTTTATGAGCATGGCGACTCGAATGAAGGAGCTTTTATTTAGATTTCTGTAGGGAAGTAGGTGTTATTCTGAATTCGAATTATTGTGCTGATTTTTTGGTATGGAAGGGTTTCGGGCCTTCCGTTTTATTTTTTTGCCGAATAGATTGTGCTTATTTCTACTGATGAACACTTGGTGAAATGCGCACTTTAAAATTTACAAAACTGATTATGATTATTAATATATGAAGCTCTGGTTTAGTTTTAGTTCAATAGCACAGTGGAGAGGAAACACAGGCCATTCGAGTTTCCTTTACCCTCTTACAAGATTAAATTTCATTTAGCCAGCTTACACAAAGCTCATTAGATGTATTATAATTATGCTTTACATTTGTTATGGGGTGCATTTTTATTCACTTCTGATTGGCAGTTATTTCTAAAGGGAATATTTGATGCATTTAGGCCGAGTCCCTTCTGGTATCTTCGTAGTTGAATTGCTGTAGTGTTCATCAGGCGAAAATAAGAGAGGCAGCGCAATTTTTAAGCATGAAATCCCACTCACTATGGGGCACAGCAAAGAACCCTGTCAAGTTCCGAATGTAAAATTAATGGCTCTCTTCTCTCCATATATCTAGGACGTAAACTTATTCTGACGCGCCAAAAATTTACTTTGGTATTTTCATATATATGATATACAGACCAACTGCCGACAATCTAGTACCAATTAGACTGGACATTGAAATTGATGGGCAGCGACTTAGAGATGCTTTCCTCTGGAACCCATCCGGTAATTTCTATTCTTATGACTCACCAAATCCAAATACTTAAACATATGGGTGTTATTCCATGTATGGATTTTCTGTTGTAACTTTTGCAGTAATGTTAGGATATTATTTCAAATATATTGTCAACTGTCCATACTTTGATCGTTTGAAAATCCTCTTATCTCAGAAATGTATCTTAGATATGATTGATGAATTGGGGGTTTGAAGCTCTTTCAATTCATATTCATAATTTATAGAAATGAAGATCTTATTGAGATATACAATTCCAACGTTATACTTTTGGGAGTGGGTAAATGTAGATAGAGGTAACATCCCCATCTTGGATTCTCTTTTCGTGTGATTTACACTGATGAGTAGTTTGAATATTGATTAATAGGTTATAGTTTTAGTTTGGTGATAATGGATCTGAGAGTGAGTAAGTGTTTTATTGATGTAGATCCTGATTCTGAAGTCGTCGTGTTTGCAAAAAGGATGGTGAAGGACTTGAAGCTTCCTCCAGCCTTTGTCACTCAGATTGCTCAATCCATTCAAGTAATTGTACTTAGCCTACTCTTAAGTACATTATTCTCGGTATATCACGCTGTAGGAATAATCTTGTTATCACAAGGGTTGTGGTGAATGTCATCCTTTATTATGCACTAGAAGATTTTGTGTAGTTGGTTGATTATTTGTTTTCCGACTACCTATTTTTATTGTCAACATGACCTTGCTAAGAAACCTTTTTGTGCAGTGTAAGCTTGTTATATTCATGTTCTTGTCTTTTCAGAATTGTGTTAACTCTTAAGTATAGTAATTTGAAGTTCATGTTTGGAATTTGTTCAGTATGGTTGACTTGGCATTTTAAGGATTTATATTCTCCTATCCTTATTTTGTGAAAGCTTATGTCTGACTGGTGATTCAAATGCCTATCATTTTAGACTCAGTTAGGCGATTTTCGATCATATGAGGGGCAAGATATGTTTATTGGCGAGAAGGTTGTTCCAATCAAGGTTTGGCATTGTTCATTTCCGAAACATTCTTCTTTCTAGATCACGGTTATTTCAGCATTTATTTTGTTTTGGTCTCTTAACAAAATCTTTTATATATTGACTTTTGGTTTTTGTGTCTTCTATTCACTCAGCTTGATCTCCGTGTTAACCATACTCTTATCAAGGACCATTTTCTCTGGGTAGGAAAGATCAAGCTCTCTTTTGTTGACTATTCTGCTGAGAATTATGAACTTCCCGTGGAGTATAGTTTTTATCTGTATTTGCTGCTGTTTTAGTAGTTGATAAGATATACCTATGGAACATTTCAGGATTTAAACAACTTTGAGAGTGATCCTGAAGAATTTGCCAAAACCTTTTGCAAAGATATGGGCATTGAAGATCCTGAAGTTGGAGTAAGTACTTTAGTTTGCATGTTTTGAAAATACTGCAACACTGGTATCAGCATGCACAAATTAACTTGAAACTCTTTTTACATTTTTCGCTATGATATTTTATTTGCAACTAATTTTTATTGTCTTGGAGGATTGGCTAGAATTTTTTTATTTGGTTTAGTTTTTCAATCAAAGCTCTCGCTATATAAGGAATAATGGTAAGGTGTGACCATTTTTCTTGATGCTCCGAGTATTTGGTCCTAAGTCGAGATAATAGGACGTTTAGGTAATCTCCTAACACATCAGCGTTCGGTTTATCGGCCTCTTGCTTGCAAATCTGTGTGTCGTTTTCCTTCAGCCTCTTCTGTTTCTCATCTTCATGAAAATTATGCAAGAGACCAACACACACAGGATTGTTAACTGATAAACTATGCAAGATTGACCACCTACCCAAATTAATAACTATTGACCTTCAGATTGTGAGCCCTTCCGCTTCGTGTTTATTAATTTAGAATTTTGACATTGCAGCCTGCTGTTGCAATTGCCATCAGAGAACAGCTTTACGAGGTGAGATTCATAACTTAATCTCTATATCTTATGTTAATGTCATACCTGTTTTGTGATGGATAATATCAGTTAATCAATTTACAGACGTTACTTTTCCATGCTGTAGATTGCTGTGCAAAATGTGACTTCAGCCCGTGAAAGCAGAATAAACAAGAAAGGGCGTAGAGGATTCGACCATGTCCAGGCCAGGTGTCTGCTGTTATATTTGAAACCATTTTAGTTTTTTCTTTTTCAAAATAAAGAAACGTGATTTTCTTTTTTTGCTTTTTTCTGGGTGTAAACTATATTAATAAAATCTCGCTTTTTATTTCTTTTCGGTTTTTGCTCACTTCAGCAAGACTGGTGGCAATGCTGTGGATTTATTTAAGCTATTTGGCAACAAGTCGAGTGTCGTACGGTAAGTGCTAACTGAATGTATCTGAAAACAGATAAACAGTGACAATACAAAAATTTTCTCTTCGTGGTTAATATTATGGGCTGCAGCTGTCATTTGAAAACAGCTTCAGGAAATCTTTTAACTTGGTGCAATCCATTTTTTCCTGAAACCAAACTATGTGCTCTGTAATAAGTCAAAATTTACATATATTTCTCAACAAATTTGTATTGGTTTTTTCAGTTTATTTTATTTTTAATTTTATGATTCAGTTTTAACTAAATGTTCCATCTAGGAAGAGGAAAGAGTGGGATATGTACGAACCGATTGTTGACCTGTTGTCGAATGAAGAAGTTGATGCCCTTGAAGCAAAAGAAGAAAGGAATGTTCGATAAGCAGCTGGACTTTTGTATTCTGCGAGTTCGTTCTTTTGATAATCTTTTCTGCAAGAGCACTTGTGTTGGTGTGATGAGAAATAATTAGAGCACTATACATTTTGAAGAGTTTAAATCTTTCTTGCTAGCATAGACTAATCACCTTTGAAAAATCTATCCTTTTTTTGTGTGAGGCTTTGTTCTATATTTTATCTCTTTTTTTTTTTTT